CACACTCTCATGTAGCAGAACCACTGCTGAATAACATTTGACATATTCTATCTGCTGACAAACATTAAAACAGAATCCTTATATTTAACAAAACAGGCCTTTCAAAATAACCCAAATGTTGTATGTTTATGGTTTGGTTAAGTTTACGCTAGGGGTTGACAACATGTCACTCCTTATTTATAAGTAGCTTGGCTAATCGAATTTAGAGAATACTGGGTATCAGCACAAGCACAGATACATGGAACAAACGTTAAACAGCAGTTCACTCAATAAACCTGCTCCAGATGCAATCCAATCAAATACAGATACGTTCCACCCTCCTCCAATACCAAATTATTATTTGCTAATTACCTGTCAGTCAAATGACTTGCACTGATGTCTAGTTGGTTTACATCAATTATGCTATGCTGTGAATTTATCAACTCTTTTGGATAATGTTGGGCTAAGCATTAATAGTCTTCACTTTAATGAGCAAATAGAAACTCAACACGTACAAGAAACAGGAATTACGTGGCCGTGGATTCAGTTAGTTACACTGTGGTGTGCATCAGTCTATTTTCTCTGATGTACCAGAGTCAAATTCCTCATGTGTCCGGCAAACCTGGCCAATAAAGCTGATTCTGATTCTGAAGTAAAGTTTGACAGCCTATTTCTTATTTAAATAATCACTGGGGCCATGCCCGTCTTAAAGGTTTTAATGATTTTGTCCACTCCTATGGTGGGCAGAAATAGTTTCTCTCCAGATTAACATTTGCATTGATGCTGGTGACCTCAGATAAGCTTTGAGGCAACTCTGTCAGTTAAAAACAAATTTAAATTCAAGCTCCCTACATAGAGAGAAGAGACGGACTGTGCCCCTAAGTTTTTATAATGCAACCGGTTCTGTATGGTGCAACAAAGCTAGCACTTATCAAAAATAAACTGACCTTAATATTCTCCAAAAAGCATGATGAAAACTATAAATACAATTAAAAAGTCCTTATAGCTGTATTTATCCATGAATTAAATAATCAATTATCACTAGTCTACTCAATGTTCATTAAGTTTTAATTTAAGATATTTAATTTGGAAATGTATACTTGAAAACTCAATTCATCCTTCAAAGTGCGTTGGCTTTCCAATATCACTTCTGTAAACCAGAGCTCTCAGATTAGGAGATACTGTATGAAGAAGCATTTGGGTAATACAGAGCATAGATGATTTATCGGAAATAAGAATATCAATCATCAGTCTCAACCAGCAGAGTGAAAGGACAAGACCAGAGTGACTAGAATATGGTTATGGTTCTTGTGTATTACTGTGGTGTCCTACATTCACTGTGTAATCAGTTCACCCTAAATGGTCTCTACAGTTGTACTACTCCTAGTTGGCCAGCAGGTGTCAGCTTTACCCCTTTGATGCCAGGTATGACACAAAGCTTCTGGCTGAGATGCAGGGATGTGGGCGCTGGCTGAAAGGAATGTGTTTAGTAGGAGATGGCTTTTAAAATTTCTAGTTAAACTCTAGTGCACAGTATTGCTGCAGCAAAGCAAATCCCTCAGCAACATCACAATATGATTTACTGTGCTGACAGTATCACTTAACCACATACCCTGTGAATGCACCTCAAGAAGGATGCATCTTTATTATTTCTACTAAAATGTTTTTACAGTGGGACCCAAAGATTGGTCAGAAAACAATAACACGGGGAAACTTAACAAACCCAATAATTTACAAATGCTTCCACATTTTTAAGTCATTCATTAAAACATTTGAATTGCCTGGTTGTGTAAAAGTCCTCTGGCAGCACGTGACTGTTAAACGCCACACGTGCTAATTCTCTAATTCTCAAAACTGCACACAGACATAAAGCGTTTATTCATCACCTGCTGACCAAACTGAGATGACCCATGTCTGTATTTTGGCACCAGAACATCAATTACTTTCATTTCCCAGTTAGCAGTTTCAAGCGAGATGACAGAATGGTGAGTGTCCCTACGCGCCTGATGGCACAGGAGGCGGTCACACCGTCGCTGCTCTCTGGCTGAATAGGTCAACTGTTTTCCTTTGCGATGCCAGAAGTGCTGCAGCACCAACACACAGTGTAGGCTACTGTTCATAGTGCTTGCATGGACCGGTTAATTGGTTTTTCTTATTGATTCTCTTGAACCAAAACGCGCTTAACACGCTGCCTTACGTCTAGCGAAGTGATCGCCTGACCATGGCAGGAACTTTGGGGCTGTTTACGACTTGTTTGTTGTTTTTTCTCCTCTCCGGTGCGGCAGGGAAGCCCGCCAGGACGAGAGTTTACTATGTGGGGATTATTGAGGACTTGTGGGATTATGCGCCAAGCGGAAAAAACCTTATCAGCGGCAAAGACATCCAAAATGATGAGTGAGTTGTGATACAGTCAAGTTATTTGAACAACTGTGTACAGATAGTGAGGTCAATTACATTGTTTGAGCATTTAAAATGTACAAATGGGCTGCTGATAGTACTGATAGTGATTTTTAGTATGAAAAAAGATGAGCTTTTTATAAAGTTTTAGGTCCAAAGTTTAACAGTAGGCTGTGTGATGTCAGGGTGTGACCATGTCTGGGATTGTTGTGCGCTTTGCAGGCCGTCTGGGCAGATGCACAGAGAAAAATGAGTAATCAAAGTGAATGCCTGTGTACTTAGAGGCTTCCTTTGCTATGTGCTTCACTGACCAATATAAAAGCAAACAGCAGTTTCTTGTATAAATGTGAGAAGAGTTTGCATCACACGTGTGATATTTCATAGATGTAGAGTTGATGAGTAGGAGGGAGGATGAGAATGTCCAAATCTGGAATTTCTTTGGGTTTTTTTTTTTTGTTTGCTTCCAAATCGTAAATATGGCCCTTCAATTTATTTTTCAGTTACATTTTGCCTGAATGATCGAGTCAACAAGATAGTACCGTTAACTAGTGCTGTTCCAAACGGAACCAATCAGTGTATATACCAGTATAATTAGCAGGTTCAATAGGAATCAATTTTACAGCCATAGATACTGACCACTGACTGGCAGGCAGGCAGTTTTAACATGTAAAACAGTGGTCCCCAACCTTTTTATCACTGCGGACCGGTCAACGCTTGACAATTTTACCACGGCCCGGGGGGGGGGGGGGGGGCGGGCG